ACATACGCCAAGTATTTTCAATAGGAAAGATTTCCATACATACGAAGTTCACTCAACACCCTGTGTACAAACCCTATGAGATTGGACTGAAAAATTCTAAGTGTTTTCTAAGAAAATGCTTGTATTTTCTCACTGCTCAAATTGACTTTGATGACATGAAATTGCTATCTGGGGGCTTGTTAGTCAATACAGAGGAAAATTAGTGAACTTCGTATATGGAAATATTTCCTTTTCAATATTTTGAACACATTTATCAACACTTTTAAACTGTCCATATTTATAAAAAGAGGTGTGCATGATGCATGGTGTACAGTGTGACATAGAATAGTTGCTTGAAATGGGTATCACATGACCAAACTATCTCATTGTGTAAACATACATGGTCAAATTTCTTTTAACCCTAAACTCTCCAAATCCATCAAAATCCATTGCCCTGTATGGTAGTGGTGGTGTTGTGGTGGATTTCAGCGGGTTTGGTCCTAAAGCATTATGTGAAGCAGGGTCAGTGATGGATTTTGGCAGACTCGGTCCAGTACTTAGTAACAGACACTAGGGAGTTAAAGGTTAAGAAATTGACTGTAGTGGGGAGTTGCTCTTGAAATGCTCACTTAAAAATAATATCTATACACAACATTTAAAATTACATTTCTCCCCTAATCATTAATTCATAAAAAGTAATCATACATTCATCATACATGTAGTTACACAATATGTACTATGCATGTATTATCTGAAATAATTGCATGAGTACATGTACATGTATGTTGAAGATCCATAAAAACAATGCAAAAGACACACCTGTTATTCCCCAGGATTTTTCCACCCTCTCAGCATTGAATGGCCTGTGGTGTGTACTGTAAATTAGGAACGAAATGCCTAGAATGTTTTCAGTCTCTTTGTACTAGAACTTTTTGCAAGGACAGTAACACCATACAATGTACACGTCTGCTTGTGTACAGTATTGTAGGACTTAATGTAAACTTGTTCATATCAAGTCGTAATTTCAATGACTCCAACTGGACTCAAGTCACATCGGCAGACAATCAACTTAGACTCGGACTCTACCAGCTGGTGCCTGGTCATGACTCGGACTTGATGCTAATAGTTTGTGACTTGCAAGTCAGGTCAAAAATTACCTGTCACACAATTGTGAAAGCCCCATTCTTGGTTCTGATATTTATTTTGATTGATTGTCATTGTGCTTTACCCCGTAATTTCCATAATTAATAAAAAGGCTGCCAGCTTTCCACAAAAAGAAAGCTGCTGATGTCAACAAGGTATCACTGCCGGTTGTCTAGTTAATTCTAAATCAGCAGGTAATTACTCCTGTTTATTGAAACTTCTCAATATACATGTAATGATGTGCATGTACATGTTGATATGACTTGTATCATGTAACTTATCATGAGCTCATTCTTGGGTACCAAGAAAAAGAAATTGATGCAGCAAAGCCGTGTGTTCTGTCTGTCACAGATACAGACCTCTGGTCATGCTGGTTATGATTTGTTTTCTGGAAAGTAATGTTAAAGGAACGCATAGTCTAGGCAATATTTCAAAAAAGGGGTTATTAAGGGCAAGAAGAGGCATTTTTTTTTAGTAGAAGTTGGTAACACAGCTATTATACCGAATTTCGGGGTGCTGAATCCGAAAATGATGGTTACCAAGCTGGATTTTTAGAGGAAATATGCTCATTTGCATACATCTTTTATACCTGTCGTGTAATATACATGTATTTGTTCCCATACATGTATTTTGGTATATTTTTCGTTATTTTATTTTTTGAAAAGTTTATTTTGGGGATTATACTTACACTTCCTTACTTCTTTAACATTTTCTAAAGCAAATAAGTGACTGAATAAGTATGAGGACATAGACACAATCATATACCCTAATGTAGCGCACATTTACTTTTCCTCAGATATCATCAAGTAGTCTCGTCAAACGTCAGTATTGATGAGCTTCAAATTCACAAAGTTACTTACTAGCACAGTTACCCTAAAAAAAATAAATGGGACATTATGTGAAAAATGATAACATCTTGATATTTAGGCCGAAAAAGAAAACAGGGGGAAATGAGGTGTCCGTAAATTGGGCTAAAAATTAGGTGAAGGGTTGCCTAACGTGGGGCACTTGAACAACTTACATGTGGGCCTAAAGGAAATCCCCCCAAATAAAAGATGATCGTTAAAGGGAATGTACATCATTGGTTTTTGATGTAATTTTCAGAAATGAACCATTTGAGGGGTAAGTATATACAGATCAAATATTGTTACACTGACATTTTTGAAGTTTTGTGTTCGAAAAGGTTGGAAAAACCAAGAAAAACAAAAATGTTTAAGTAATCTGGTTCCCTGACTCCACAAAAGATAAAATGGATCAATTTATAGATGATGGAAAATTGTAAGGCACGGGAACCAGTCTAGCTGGCCTGCACCCGTTCATGAAACATGTAACCAATAGCAAATAAAATTTGGACTGAAAATATGGTTAATTTGGAGCAGTAGTTGAAAAATAGTTAGGTTTTTCTAACGCTGGTCGGCCGACCACCGTTGGAAATGTATACAAAAATACCATTTTCTTGAAAATGACTTCACACCAGGTGCCATAATTTTACAAAATGCTTGAGACTATCATTCACCAACATCCTAGTAAGGTGTTTCGTAAAAACTTGGTAGTTTTATTTTTCGATGTTTGCAAATGTTGTATATTCCCTTTAAGTTGCTTACATTTACAATAATTATGTCAATGTCAAAACGTTTTCTTACCAATAATTTTGGGTATTTTCTTGAACTTGTTCAAGTCTCCCACGTTAGGCAACCCTTCAACTACTTTATAGCCCATTTTACGGGCACCTCGCTCTTTCCTCGTTGTTGTTTGCTGGGCTAAATATCACAATGTTGTCATTGTTCACATGATTTTCAATACAGTTTTAATATGGTAACTGTGCCAGTAAGAACATGGTGAATTTTAAGTTCATCGATACTAAGGTTTGGCAAGACTACTTGATGATTTTGGAGACGAGGTAAATGCTCGCAAATTTAGGGTATAATAGTAACCATTTTGGATTGTTAATATGTCCTCATATTTATTCAGTCACTTGTATGCTTTAGAAAATATTATTGCAGTAAGGAAATGTAAGTAGAATCACTGAAATAAACTTTTCAAACAATAAAATAATAAAAAATATATCCAAATTTGGGAACAAATATATTACACAGCGGGTATTAAAGATTTGCAAATTGGTAACCATCATTTTCGGATTCAGCACCCCGAAAGTACCGGTAGGTAAAAAAAGCTATGTTACCAACTTCTACTTGAAAATGCCTCTTCATGTGAAATATCGCCTAGTCTAAAAGAACTTGAAGCACCCCATCGTACTGCACCACTCTCCACGTGCCTGGTGCTTTGAATAATAAGTGTTGTTAGTTTAAAGGGAATGTACATCATTGGCTTTTGCTGTAATTTTCAGAAATGAACTATTTGAGGGGTTAGTATAATAGATCAAATATTGTTACACTGACATGTTTGAAGTTTTGTGTTCAAAAATTCTGGAAAAACCAAGAAAAACAAAAAATTTCAAGTAGTCTGGTTCCTTGACTCCACTAAAGATAAAATGAATCAATTTATAGATGCCGGAAAATTGTAAGGTAAGGGAACCAGTCTAGCTGGCCTGCACCCGTTCATGAACATGTAACCAATAGCAAACACAATTTGGACTGAAAAAGTGTAAAGTTAAAGCAGTACCGGTAGTTGAAAAATAGTTAGGTTTTTCCTGTATACAAAAATACCATTTTCTTGAAAATGACTTCACACCAGGTGCCATAATTTTACAGGATGCTTTAGACTGTCATTTACCAACATCCTGGTAAGGTATTTCGTAAAAACTTGGTAGTTTTATTTTTCGATGTTTGCAAATGTCGTATATTCCCTTTACTGTCCCCTCCCTATTTCCCACGAAAGCGTGTCACTTACATACTGCTTGCAAGTAAACGTACACGTACGCTGTCCAGTCCATGCATATCCATTTCAGACAAGGCATACATGTACATGTACACATGTGTAAATGTACATGTTTGAGTAAAAATTAAGGCATACCGGTATGTCATGTCACATGGCCCTATTTCTGCGAGATCATTATTGGGCACAACACCAAAATTAGTGCTTGTATCCTGTGCCACCTTAGTCAGTTGTTGATGAAAGTGAACAAGCAACTTTGTTTCTGATCTGATGGTTTAACTGCGACTACGGCTAGATCCCTGTGTTGGCTTATAGGCGGACATGCTATAGCCATACACATGTGTGCCCCTTCGGCCTTGTGGTACATGTATGTATGTTGTTTGTAGTTTTTCCACGTGGATATTCAAACAGCCATGGGTGAACGGACTGAAGCAAATGACTCCTGACTAAAATGCCAAATGACTCAGACTCAAGTGACTTAACTACAACACCGATTGTGTATACAAAAACTCTGCGTGAGATAAATATTCCCATCTAAAAATCTTTGGGTACATTACATGTACATGTAGTATAAAACAAAGGCAATGTTCTTATGCCTTGCCATTTACCACAATGATGCAGCATATGAGCAACACACAACATTCATCTTCAATGTACATTACTCAGGTCTTAAGCTTGCTGCTTCATGTATTAAATGAGCCAAGAAGGCATGTACATGTACCATTACTTATTTTACAAAGTGTCTGCCTGTTTTTATAGTTATTTTCTGGTACATTGTGCATTTTGTGTTCAATCTATGTGTACGGCATTTGTTCCATGGAAATGGTGCTTCCCTATTAAAAATGTTGGAAGCCTACAAAAGCAAAGGGGCTAGTACTATCATTGCTATAAATAGTGCTTGTGTGATGGTGTATTGCAACATGAGCCTCCTTGGCTGTGGTGGCTAGAAAGTGAAACACACTAATGTGCATTCCCTGAAACCGATCTGAAAAGCGACCATATTCAAGGCTTCCTGATAATTTGGTGTTTCATTCTGTGTTCAGGTGCGGAGGAAAGGAGCACATCCTGATTGCAGAGAACCATCGGTCTATGATGCAGTGGCTACAGAACTTACAGGTAATCTTGCCATTTTAATGTGGATCTCGAACTGTATGGAGCCGCACTCTAACATTTGACTAAAATAGGCAATTTGCATTCAGATTTGTGTGAAGTATGGTGATCCATAGTCAAAGAATGACATTGACTCATTGTCAACACTGTAAGTATGTGGAAACACTCCCCATGCTTTTGCCATAGTGACCATACTGAAGTCAACTTGCATTTTGGTACTCAGTTTGGCAGTATTCCATGTCATCTATTCAACAATTTCATGCTCTAATATTTGCAATATCTACATGTACATTGTACTTGCAAATGTATCTTAAATGAACATGAACATTATGTTTACAAATAACATGTAAATTAAGTGTACCAAGTGGTAGTTTTGCCTGTAACATTCCTGAACATCAAACATCATGTCAAAGTGTCCTGCGTTATTCTTTGTATTTAGAACATTTGGGACAATAAGCCTACAAAATCAAAAATATTCAAATCCCTCCAAGAAAGATTTATTCCCCACTACATACAATGTACATGTACAGATAAACATGATCTTTTTGTTGTGACTTTGGTATTAAATCGTATATTGATATCTGCACAAAATTAAGACCTGTAGTTCCCTAGGTCTTAGAAAAATGCACCTTTAGTCTAATGTCACGTGACGTGATGATGACGCCATCATTAGGGACACATATACATGTATTTATTGACAAATCTTTTATTGGCGTCAAATTTCTTTGATTTTCTGCTGTCAAAAGTCCACTTTTTATATTAAGGTCTTTAAAAACCCATTTGTATGATTGGTAGTCTTTTCACCACTACATGTTTTCCTTGTGAATTTTACTTTGCTTAACTTTATTTAATAATTTGTATAGTGTGAAAACCAGTTTGGGCAAACCGGTGCCTTGGTTAAAGAAATGACGTACATGAAATTGTAGTTCTGAATGTTGTGTACTGCTATAAATCATTGTGTAATGCAAAAAATGTACCCCCTCCACCTCAAATAAAAAAGTGGTATTTTCCAGTTTTTACCCCTCAGCCGAGAGGCTCGAGGGGTATTGTCATCGCCTAGGGCGTCCGTCCGTCCGGATGTATGTCTGTCTGTCCGTCCGTCCGTCCGTCCGGGCAGCTTAGTTTCCGGATGATAACTTGAGTTAGAAATGTTGTTTGGGGTTGTAACTTCGGTAGGGGGTTGCCCTTGGGAGTAGGCAAGTTGGGATTGGTTTTGAGGTCAAAAGGTCAAAGGTCAAGGTCACCGTGGTGAGTTAAATGTAAATGGTTTCCGGATGATAACTTCAGTTAGAAATGAGATTTTGGTGTCTAACTTTGGTAGAGGGTTGCCCTTGGGAGTAGGCAAGTTGGGATTGGTTTTGGGGTCAAAAGGTCAAAGGTCAAGGTCAGCATGGTGAGATAAAGGTAAATGGTTTCCGGATGATAACTTGAGTTAGAAATGAGATTTTGGTGTCTAACTTTGATAGGGGGTTGCCCTTGGGAGTAGGCAAGTTGGGATTGGTTTTGGGGTCAAAAGGTCAAAGGTCAAGGTCACCGTGGTGAGTTAAATGTAAATGGTTTCCGGATGATAACTTGAGTTAGAAATGCGATTTTGGTGTCTAACTTTGGTAGAGGGTTGCCCTTGGGAGTAGGCAAGTTGGGATTGGTTTTGGGGTCAAAAGGTCAAAGGTCAAGGTCACCATTGTGAGTTAAAGGTAAATGGTTTCCGGATGATAACTTGAGTTAGAAATGCGATTTTGGTGTCTAACTTTGGAAGAGGGTTCCCCTTGGGAGAAGGCAAGTTGGGATTGGTTTTGGGGTCAAAAGGTCAAAGGTCAAGGTCAGCATGGTGAGTTAAAGGTAAATGGTTTCCGGATGATAACTTGAGTTACAAATGAGATTTTGGTGTCTGACTGAGGTAGGGGTTTGCCCTTGGGTACAGGCAAGTTGGGATTGGTTTTGGGGTCAAAAGGTCAAAGGTCAAGGTCACCGTGGTGAGTTCAATGTAAATGGTTCCGAATGATACCTTGAGTTAGAAATGAAATGTTGGTGTCTAACTTCGGTAGGGGGTTTCCCATTGGTACAGGCATGTTGGGACTGGTTCTGGGGTCAAAGGCCAAAGGTCAAGGTCACCACGTTGAGTTAAAGGTTAATGGTTTCCGGATGATAACTTGACTCTGGCTGAGGGGTTTCAACAGCAACGCTGTTATTTTTTGTAAAGGCATGGCCAGTTACTGTTTGATCTTTGTTTGATGTTTTGCAGGAGGTGCGGGATTTATTTTCCTGCGTGAAGAGCAATCGGAACCAAGTCAGATTCTCCAGAGCATTAAGTTACAAAGCAACAACGGTGAGTAGGCCTGTACATGTATCTTGACAAAAAAGTAGCAACCAATGAAGAATATAAAGGCTTTAATACAAGTTTATTCCTACACGCTTGTAGCAGTCTAAAGCCTTTTTTTTATTACTCGGGAAAAAAAAAAAAAAAAAATTACAGTCCAAAAATTCCACTTTTCCAAAAAATTGCCTTCCCAGTAGTAATCACAAGCTTTTGATTCACTTTTATACCTGAATCCTGGAATCTGTCCCAAAAAAGGGGAAAGGAATCGCCTTACATTTCCACACGATGATCCTTGATCCATGTGCTGCTTGCTCGTACCGCGTGTTTTACGTTTGTGCACTTGTTCCCATCACCAAAAATATCTTAGACAGAACGGACGGAAAGCAGCTGCACTAGTACATGTTTGTATGCATATAGAATTTACGATCTAGTGGTGCAAAATTTTGGTCCTTAAAAAATCAAGTTTTGAAGGTGCTAGTCTTGATTTAAGTCACACATGTTTCTTTTGAAAAGGTTGCTTGGAATGAACATGCTCTCATTTTTGTTGGATCTGATTTCCCACATTGAAAGTGTCAGTTGCTTGATGTAGGACTAGTCTGATGTTGTATACCTGCCAATCCTTTTGATTTAAATGGAATTGTCCAAATTTTTCAGTTTACAGACTGAGAAAAACAAAAAAATAAAAAAGGTCTGGCAAAATGGGGCGCTATTTGCCATGAAGAAATCTGTACCTGTGCAGAAAAAAAGAGGGCGCTATTTTTGTGTTTGATTGGGTGCGTTCAAGTAGCTGACCTGGATCAACTTGGGTTTGTAGCCCTGTGCTGTTCCATTAGATCTGATGTCATTCTCAGGGCTCAACTGGGTCAGCCACCACAGACGCTGCTCGGGGAGCAGAGTCAGTTGTACTTTTCAAAAAGTGGACAGATATGGCAGCTGGACAGTAAAAATGTCAAGTGGACTTAAAAATCAACTTTACTTGAACTTTAAAGCTAATTAATTATCTATTGACGTTATTGCAACTTCAGAGGCTATAATTCCAGCCCAACTTTTTTAAATTTTGCAATTGACTGAAAATTAGAAAATCTGAAGCTACGACCCAGTCCAAAACGGGTGTTTTGTCAGAGGCTACATACCGGTATGTCCATAACTGCCACGGTTATGGACATGATGATCTCGTGAGCATCATGATGGCTCGCGGTTGAACGTTCGATTAGCCAAGCTGTCATGGTTTACCCATCTGCCTTTACTGGAGACGATCCGACACAAGAGCCAAAGTCAGGGTTGGCAACGACCTATCTCCCTCCTTCCTGACTTCCTCCAGAGTTCGGCAGGGTTGTGTGCTGGCACCAACCTTGTTCTGGCAGCCATGGATACAATCTTGTCACAGTGTGAGGATTCACTGGGAATCAATGTAGGCAATTACAGGTTTACCGACCTCCTGTATGCAGATGATGCCTCTTCACAGGCCTTAAACCATCATGGACCAAAACCAAGGCTCAGTCTTTATGCGGTCCAGCACCTGTTCTAATTTTCCTGGATTCCAATGTTGTCAAGTGATGTCATAAAACGTAAGAGCCTTCTAGCGGCAGGTTGAAAATGTTTAATATAAACAATCAGTTGATGCTTGTGGCAAGTTAACTGAAATCATTTGATAATTGATACATATAATCAGCTTCATGCTAAGAACAAATTAGTCGGTTTGTCGAATACTGTAAACGTAACTTCCTTGCACTGAATCTCATAAAGACGAAAGAAATGTTGGTTGACTTCCGCAAAGCTTATAAGCTGGTGCCGGATCCAGTTATAATTGATGGACATGAAATAGAACGTGTTGCCGAGTATAAATATCTTGGAGTTGTTTTTGATGATAGGTTAGACTGGAGCAACCATGTGAGTCATGTAGGTAAAAGATTGAACTCAAGAATGTACTGTTTGAGGAAACTGAACTCATTTGATGTCAGGAAGGAAATCAAGACAATATTCTATAACTCGGTTATTTGTAGTGTATGGACCTATTGTTTGTTATGTTGGGCTGGAAATACCGATAAGAAAGTGAACAAATTAATTGACGATACCATCAAACGAGCTAGTAGGATACTCGGTGAGTGTTTGCCATCAGTGGACACGGTCTACAACCAACGGCTGTGTGACAAGCTACAACTGGTGTGGGGAGATGCTGGGCATCCGCTCCACAACCGATTTAAGGATAACATCATTCCACGCAGCGGAAGACTGAGACCAGTGGTTGCACACACAAACCAATATTCTTCATTTTTCACAGGCAGGGCCATTAAGTGTCATAATGATGATTTTACAAGATGATTTTTATCCAAAGGATTAATTTATTCTGGTATCTGAGAAGCAACGGGTTTTCACAGTTTTTGACATAATTTTTATACTTAGTCCTTTATTCTGGTTCTACTTTGGGAATGGGTTTTGCATTAATTTTACATGTGCTTTTTTACGCTCTAAAGTTTTTAGTGCTTTATACTGTGTGCAATTGTAATGTTTTGATGTGATTGTGTATTTATTTCCTGAATATTGTAGCGTATGTTGAATTTTTTTTATATTTTTAATGAGAGACGACAACATGTAATTTCCAGTTTTGGATTTTAATAAAGTTTATCTATCTATCTATCTTTATCTAAGGGAAAATGATTGATGACATTACCAGACCGGAATTTACAATTGAAAGACCTTTAACCCTAACCCCCTAGGCCCTTGTTGCTTACAACCATCCTCAATCCTCCAAAATCCTCCAAAATTTTCCAAAATTTTGCAACTCCGCCTAAATTTTTCAAAATTGTCAGACAGTCCTGCCTCAAAATGCATTCATCCTCAATCCTCCAAAATCCTCCTCATCCCAAAACTTTGCACTCGTGTTTAAATGAAGGATAACCAACGCCAAATCCTTCAAAATCATCAGACAGTCCTGCCTCAAAATGCATTCATCCTCAATCCTCCAAAATCCTCTTGTGCTTCAATCACCATTCATCCTCAATCCTCCAAAATCCTCATGTGCTTCAATCACCATTCATCCTCAATCCTCCAGAATCCTCATTTGATTCAATCACCATTCATCCTCAATCCTCTAGAATCCTCCAAAACCGCCAGGAGGATTTTGGAGGAGTGAGGTGGGTTAGGGTTAAACCTTAAAAAAATGGCTGAAAATCAACCACAGGTGATAATAATCCAAACGTTTGCTTCATATAGCACGGTTAACATAGCTCTCGAGCCTTCTGGTAATGACGTCATCAAGTATCAGATAACAAGCAACCAAAGATTTCTAGATTTAATTTTTGAAAATCAATCTAAAATAAACTATGAGAGATCTGATTTTTCTTTTTACGGGAATCAATAGAATAATCCAGGGTCTTCATGTTTTTATCATGAACAAAATACTTTAAATTATTTGAAAAATCGTACTGCGTAAAAGCTGTGTGTTCTGTTTATCGAACAGACGTACATGTAGTTCTAGTCTTTCTGTCTTCTTCTTTTTGTTCCCTCGCAAATCCTATAGAATTTTTAAACATCTTTTCTGGACGCAACTTTTGGCATTCATCCTTGTCATATATCATGTTAGCATAGGCAAAGCCCTGATAAAAAAGCAAAGTTGTGCCCCAAAAGGCATAGCTCTTATAAAATAGCAAAGTTGTGCCCCAAAAGGAATACATGTAGCTCTGATAAAATAGCAAAGTTGTGTCCCAAAGAGTGACATCACCATGATGTCATCATGGGTCATGTGACGCCATCTTAAAGATGCATATTTTAAAGTCCTATATCTATAGAACTGTAAGTCCGATTGGGTTCAAACATGGTATGTAGGTAGACTGGGATGTGTTATAGGCAAACATGGAGGTGACATCATGATGGATTTTCAATTTTTTGACTTAAAAGCCCTATCTCATCAACAGGACAAGCTAAACTCAAAATTTGTTTGTAATGGGTATGTTAGGGCATGGCTAATTTTTGCACAAACAAAGTGGTTTGTGTGATGCCGTGATGATGTCATTAAAAATGCAGTGATTTAAATCACATAAGGCTTGGTCTGATTGTCTTGAAACTTGGTCAGTAGGTAGATACCATTACTAATATACAAAATCTGAAGTGACATAGTGACGTCATCGCCTGATTTTGTATTAATTTATTAACTTTTTACATGTTTTACTAGCAAAATATGACAAAATACAATCCAATTGACTTCAAACTAGGCACAGACAAAGACCCATGGCTAAGTTAGCCCTAGAACAGAGATGTCATGACGTCATCAGTGGTCATGTGATGTCATCTTAAATGTGCATATTTTAAGTTTTTTCGTATGTAAAGAACCTTAAGTCGATTGAGTTGGAACTTGGTATGAACATAAATAGACAGAGACTTGTTGCAGACAGAAATTGGGGTGGCGTCATTATGACGTCATCATGGATCGCGAGACGTTATCTTAAAGGTGCATACAGTAAACTCCGGCTAAGTCGGCACTCTCGGGACCCGAGAATTTGTGACGACTTACACAAATGTCGACATCTGCTGTAAGTCGTCATTTTGCCGACAAGTTTACATAAATTGAATCATGGAGTAAAAATAGATTGAATGGCTTCCTCCATGGGCTTATGCACATCTGTATGTGGCTCAATACTGCAAACAATCTCCCATGATGGGACCACAGGCTCCGATTTACGCTGGTTTATTTCTGGTTGATTCCAGCAAATTTATCCTTAATGTTTATCATCACATAGCTGGGGTATATTGGTCACAGAAAGCCATGCCCGTACGAAGCAAGGATGGCCGGCCAGCATCATGGTGCACGCTATCATATATGTACTATGTACGTGTATGTGTACACAGTTATGAATTAATGCGTGCATGGTATACCGGTACTGGTAAAGTTCATTCAATAAGGGGACCCCCAAAATGGACAGAGCGCATGCATGCAGGACTAGAGCCTAGGGGGGGTACTGGTATTGATGTGCTCACAGTGCGGTTAATTCAATAAGGGGACCCCCAAAATGGACAGAGCGCATGCGTGTGGGACTAGAGCCTAGAGGGGGTACTGGTATTGATGTACTCACAGTGCGGTTAATTCAATAAAGGCACCCCAAAACGGACAGAGAGCATGTGCTCACAGTATCGGGGAAACCCCTTTTTGATCACGCACGCACTGGCGGTGGTGTATTTTTTTTGGGGTGCCGACTTAGAAGGAGGAATTTTTGTGGTTTTGAGGAAATGGGCTGAAAGAAACACGCCGACTTGGGCGAAATGGCGACTTACAAAGGCCGACTTAGAAATGAGCATTTCAATGGAAATTCATTAGAGACGATCGGTACTTTTGTCAGACGGCCGATTTAGGCGATATGGCAAGTTATACAATGTCGACTTGACCGGAGTTTACTGTGTTTTAAAGTCATATATCTGGAGAACTTAGCTGTGGAACTATGTATGTTCTTGCATGTACCGGTTATTTACCTGACATCAACTCATACAAAAATAGCAGTATGTAAGAGACATGCATGTAGTTCTAGTTTATTTTGGCACCTTAATTTTAGCTCATTTTATGTTTGAATTTACAGGATCCTGTTTTTGGTATTGCCTTTACATTTATAACAATTGCTTAAAATCTTATTTCTGACAATAAAACAGGCCATTGTACTCATAAATCTTAAATTTGGTGAAGTCTAAGACTTTGTAAGAGATTATTTAAAAAGCAGTTGAATTGATATAACAATGTTCTTGTTATTTTAAACGTAAATCCTGGATTATATAAGGGGAGCAGGCTAATTTGAAATAGTTCTACAGTGAGATATTTTGGAAGGTTTTTTTTTCTTCTTGCTTTTGGTTGCAGCAGGCATCGCCTTCCAAGGGCCTAGCCAGTAGCCCTGCCTCCTCCCTGAGGCGCCAACAACCCAGCCGCAGTAAAAGCAAGAATCTGACTGATCTACCAGCCTCATTCTCTGTCTCAGCAGAAACAAATGACAGCTATGCCACCTTCAAGAAGAACCTGGTTGGGTCCTTCTCACTACCCAACACCAAGAACAGCTTTGTCTATGGTAATCATGCTTTTTGCTGTAGTATACACAGCTCGTATTTTGATCAAGAAGTATTGTTAACTATAGTTTGAATGACTTTGATCGAGTGCACACAAATTGACAATGGGTGGACCAGGTTAAGTAAATTATTCAGGACCAGCCATACATGTACATGTACCTACATGTATTAAGGTTGGTCTCAAACTGGTATCAATAGTGTATATCACAATATAAACATGAACAGCAGGTTCTGCCATTAATTTACACCGTACTTGAATAAAACCAATTATCACTAGAATATTGATATTATTTTATGTACATGTACTATGTAGGTGCACAAATGCAATCTGTACTTTAGTTGCTTTGTTTTTTTGTAGTGTAATTTACTATTTTTTGTCTGTATCAGTGGCTAATTTATAAAATTGCAAGCAATTTTTAAATTATAGAAATTGTCTCGTTGAAGTGTTGAGATGACTACATGTAGTTTGTGTTGTTTTGCGTCAGATTCTGTGGAGACATCACCCACCTCTATGAGAAGTTGCAACAGCATAGCATCACACAGCTCCACAGAGGAGCTACCAGTGTCAGCAGGTTGGACCAGTCCATTGGTAGGGCAAGCCCCAAGAGACAACAGTGACCAGTAAGTCATGACAAATCCCAACAACTTCCTACAGAATCAAGAAAACCCCGCACACAATCTTAAGTGGGCACTCTATGGATTGTGTTAATTCCAGGTGATCATTCCCAGCTGTCTTAATAGAAATGTTAGGGTAAATGTAAAATGGTGACTTTGGACAACAATATGAGTGTATTGAACTTTTCTGTTGGGGTGGGGGGTTGGACATGGAGGGGGAGCACCACCTTTAGGTATGCCTGGTGGGACCACTGTTCATTAACCCTAGCACTCACAGGTCCTTCATAGTCCATCAAGAGATTTTCAAGGATTTGGATGGATTTAGGATAGTCAAGCCCAGCAAATTGTGTTTAACATGTGGCTAGATAGTCCTTGAAAGATAAAGTAAAACGGCTAATATTCCAATTAGCCGTCACAATTGTAGATTTTTCTGAGGATTCATAAGGTTTAGGAATGCTTAATAAATTGGGGTTAATCTCATCACATTTTGCTGAAGTCCATTGACTTGAGCAGAATGCTCAGTGAAATACTAAATTGTATTTTCTGACATACGATATATTCCAATCTGTATAGTAACTTATGGATCTATTGTGTGCTGTGGAGTGTTTTGCTTCCCTTCACAAATTTGGTTTCAGTATCGAATGTTGAAGGACTTTTTGGTTTTGTTCATGTGATTTTACTAACACAGTTCATCCATGAACAGGGAAATGAAGTTACAAATGATAGTTCACATCTTCAGTGCACATATTCCAAATGTAAATCCGTTGATGGCACTCTAAAATTGTTACATTTCACTTATCGTCTGAGAGCAAATATTCAATTTGGAAATATAATAAGAGAGTGATATTAGAATGAAAAGTGCCGAGATGAAGTGATATTTTGTCAATTTTCAGTTTTCACCTGCAGCATGTGACAGGTACAAATCTAGCTATTTGATTATGTCCATAGGCGTTTTCGGGGGGGGGGGGGGGGGGGGGGGGGGGGGGGGGGGGGGGGGGGGGGAGGGGGGGGGGCCTCTCTGCTGTTAAAAAAAAACACCCCAAAACACTATGTATTTTAAAGACATTGTAACCAAACCAGATGCTAATTACGAGTAGCCTACTACAGTTTGAGTTGAGAGTCCTCAGGATAGCTGATTCAATGACTCCAAACTCAATGTTTAAATGATGATCTTTTGCTCAAAAAATATATATATATAAAGCGGTCAGATATTGCCTGAGATCGCACACCAGAACATCTAGAATCCAAAATTTTCAGGGGCCCTTAAGCGGGCGCCGGACCCCACGCCATTACGGCTTCGCGCCAAGTGCTCGCATTACTTTTCATCACCCCCCCCCCCCCTCTTTGGCCTTCCGCGTAGGTGCCACAACTTGCCTTCACCATTTGCTGCTTGTTACATTTCACGCCCCCCCCCCCTTTGGACAATCCTGGTTCCGCCCCTGGTTGGGGTTTGTAAAGGCCGGTCGGACTTGGTCCCACTGTTCCAAGTTCCTGGCTACGCCTGTGATTATGTCCTGATCATGACTTTATTATCAAATTGTATTATCATTGTGTTATTAATGATTGTTAGGAAGCATGAATGAATAGGAAGTTGTTGGCTCGATTTCTTGTCATATCTTGATGCTTTCATACTATTTAATCACAAGCTCTTACTTGTGAATTGAATCAGTCTGATATCTGAGTTAATGGGCCAAGTAGTCAAAGAGCTACATGTCCAAAGTAATTCAAGTGGGTTGTTGTCATGGTGAAGTCTCTCTGCTGAGTGAAGTTACGGTTACGGTAAAGAGAAGAAGCATGTTAGGTCCAATGTTAAGTATTCTGTTTGTATAATGATATTACCCAAATATAAATCTTGGAAGTTATCATGTTTTTGCTAATGATGTTGTTATTTACATGTATACTAATGGTGATGAGTTTAACCCTCTTGCTTTTTATACAGTCACAGACAGTCAAAGTTCTTTTCCCCTTCCCCTGCTATACTTTTAACAAGGGCTAGTAACCAGTAGTCAGATCATATGTCAAGCAAGCACTGTGACTAGTCAAACTGGGTCAACAGACAAAGCAGGCAACTTGTAGTCACAGCTGTTTTATCACTCACCCGGAGGCAAAGCATACATGTATCTGTATGAAGATACTTAAAAAGTCACAGCCAGTCAATCCTGCTTTATGTAGGCTGGGAATTTTTAAGTGTTGAAAACAGTCTCTTGTGTGATTTTGACCAAAAGTACTACTTGGCACAGAATGTATGTTTGCGTAGGAGGGTTAATCATGTTAATGACAAACTTCAGTCCGCTGTACACGATAGAATGACAGGGTATGAGCATAAACGATACTGTATTCATGCAGCTAAAACTAAAATTATGCGCTGAATAGCTCGTTATAGTAAAGGTACTGCTAAATTGAAATTGTCTGTGTGAGACTCCAGTCTTGAACAAAGTAAGAGTGTTAGGCGTTTGGGTGTTGAAGTTGATGAAACTCTTAGCTGGGATACACATGTTCAAAAGCTTTGTGAATCGGTGGCATATAAGATTAATTCCAAGTAGATGTAGACACAATTCAAAGCCAGTTACTTATCACTCTGGGTGATTTTAAACAGTTGAAAAAACACCGACTGGTTGTAATCACCATGCAAACCCTTATTCATAAATACCTCAGACAGTTTAGCTATTCCTATTGGTCGAGAGCCCGTCACGTGGCCGGTCTTAAACGGATGATAAAGCAGGGGTGTGAAATCTCAGCTTTAAAGCTGATTTCAGCTTTTTGCGTTTTGGATTTCAGCTTTTTTCCCTCACTTGCTGTGTACAAAAGTATAGGAGATTTCCAAAGTTCAGCTTTTTTACGCCTTTTTCAGCTGTTTTCAGCTGTTTTTATCAGTGGTCACTCACACCCCTGTAAAGACATGGCTAGCTGGTCTTAAACACTTTTTCAGTGTCACATAAAATGTGGACTCATAAAAATCCAGTGCCTCTTACCGTTTTATTGGTTGAACGTTCACAATCCTCATGTAGGCATGCGCAACACTACCAGCGAGTCAGAATTTTATAGTTCTAAATTCAAAACGCAATGCCCCAGGTGCGTTCTGCGCGACATCGCGCAGAACATGCTATGCGCGTGTCAATATCCATAAAAGGGTTGTTTACATCTTACTCGCCAGCTGAACACTCCATTATTTTGCTAGAGGGATGTTTAAAAAAGCATAAAGTGAACTTGTTGAACAAAATCAGGATTTTTTTGAACGAATTATTTGATATTTTTTTACCGAAAAAGTATTTATGAATGGGAATAAATATGTGCTCGGTCGGTATTTATCACTCTGTTTAAGACCGCTTAGAGTCTGGGTGCTGATAATTACCCTCGCCTCCAGCTCAGGTAATTATCAGCACCCAGACTCTAAGCGGTCTTAAACAGAGTGATAAAAACCTCTCGAGCACACATTTATTCCCTTATTAAAGTCTCATATAATCTCCATATAAAAAGATTTTTAGTACCTTAAACATAGCTAGAGGGGTGTTTCACAAAACATGAAGTAAAATTGTTGAACAAAATTGTTGGAAATACAATGTATATATAATTTTTGGCTTTTATTTTGACAGAAAGGTATTTATGAAAGGGAATAAATATGTGCATGACCGATATTAAATTAGTAAGTTTCAAACCGGCTAGGGGCTTTGTCACTGATAAAGTGTCCAGGCCCCCAGCCGGTTAAAATGTTCTTGTTTTAAACTGGCCAAGTACATGTTTATTCCTTTCGAATATAATGGGAAAATTATGTTTCACTGAATTAAACTGCAACTTACAGAGAAACAAATCTTGAGGATAGGCAATTGGTTGCATTGCACTGCTCACTGATCATGTGATCCTCAGCAGTTCACTTTTTACATGGTATTGTCAGTAACAAAATTGCAAAAGACTATCATGTCTTCACTCTTAAGATTGCTGGGCTAAATGTCATAGTTAAGAATCCATTTCGTTTAATTTATTTTTTTTAACCTGAGGTTGGAACTTGGGACCACAGAAGCAGGGTGTTTGGAGTCCAAGTTGGAGAGAACCGCTGTTGAGGAGAATCATGACATTGAGACATGGAGACAATTTGACAAAGAGGCACTGATTGAGCAGCTGCAACAAATGAAGCAACTTGTGGAGTAAGAAATTAAAACTATTAATAATAAAAATATAGCCAACATCAAGAAAACCCTGACTGAACCCGAATCATGGTTAATAAACAACTGTCAGAATCCAACAGAAGGCAATTGCTATTAGACTCCGATGGTCTGGGTTTTGGACCAACATGTTTATTCCCTGTTTGCCAGTTTGACATGTGTGTATTTTGTGCCATGGATTCAAGTCGTGTCCGTTGGTCAGTTGGCTGGGGTGTACACGTACAAGCATTACATTCACTGTGTGGACCTCTGAACAAAAGAGGTCCACATTAACCAGGTAGCAGTGACATTGTGCGGACTTGCCCACATCTACACAGTGTTTCCCCTCTCTGGATAACAGGTTTAGAGGCATTTTGGGGTTAGGTGTATTGTTGCAAATTGATCACTCAAGGAAATCATAATAAAAAAAATTGGGTTGAAAGAGTGTTCACATTGTGAATGAAATGCTTTTTGCGCCCTATTTTCTTTACTACATGAAAACAAAATAATTATAACACACCCCTCCAGACAGTTATACTAGATATAATAAACCAAAGTCGGTTTCAGGGTCAGGTCGGTTTCAGGGTCAGGTCGGTTTCAGGTCGGGTTTGCACAACATCACTGGGAACCCTGATACATTTGTCATTATGTGGTAGCACTTGTAAATATTGAAAGACAGATGATTAACAGTGAGATTTTTAGTGTAGCAAATCAACTGTAAAGTTGGACACGTGACCCCTTCTTGGCAAATGCTTGGTGGCAAAAAGTATGGTAAGTCCCCTGTTGTTGAAATGAATTTGCATCAACTTGTATAATTTGATTGGATGTAGGGAAAGCAAGAAAAATTTCAAGAGCCTGGAAAACCGAGAACAGGCCTACAAACAGATGCTGAAGAAACGTGAGCAGGACATTATGCACCTTGATGATAAACTAGGAATCATGGAACAGGCTCACCACATGAGAAGGTATGGCCATCTTTGTCTAACCTTAAGAGGGCATTACTCAGCTGATTACATGGAAGATGCAGTACAATACAGGCACGAGTCTTTTTTTTGTATGTGGAAATAGCAGAATGTAAAACTGATGGGCTTGAACCAAATTGGTTATTGTTGTCTACACCTACATGTATGGCGATTTCTTGTAGTTCACCAGTTATTTAAACACAAGCCAAAGCCACCAACTATCTGATTCCTAAGCAGCCATACCTACATGTATATTTAGTCACAGGATGATAGTCATAAGCAAACTTACCATCTACATTAACACCTTACATGTATGTTTCAGTTTAATTATCAGACTCAGAAATGAACTCGACTACACCACTGTCTGTTACATTGAAATTCTAGCTGCTGCCAAATGAGCCTTGTACACAAAGGCGGAATAAGGATGATGGGATAAGATAAGATTGTTCAGAACAGCACTCATTTGGCCCTGGCATACACTCTTAAGTTGGCAATATGGCGTCCATATTCATGTACATGTTTGTAATGGAATTGCTTAGAAATAATGGAAGCATCAAAATCCGTAATAAGTTTTCATAAAATAAGGGTGTTCCTCATAGCAGCATTTTATACTGTATTTCAAACTCACTGCATGTCAGTTTCTCCAAATTTGTTTGTTGTTTTTTTTCTTAAAGGGAGGGGGGTAGGGAATTGGAATTTATTGTCATGGATACATTTTCTCTACAGGGTTTTTAAATCACCAAAACATTCAATTTAAACAAAGTCATATTGCTGGGTTTTGTTTTAAAACTGAGAGATTTACTTCCCTCAAAAGACAGGAAAAATTACTGTGCCAGACTCAAAATTATGTTTCAATTAGGTAATTGATATTGATTGTACTTGCCATATCTGCTGTTGGTTTATAAATCATCAAACTAAGTAGCTGAAATATGTAGTCCTATTGTTGGATGTTTGTTTTACTGTCAGAGATCTGCTATCACCAGAAGACATGGATGCAGCTCAACAACGAATCCTGGATCTTCAAGACACATGTAAGGTGTACCAGGAACAGAATGGATTCCTGAATACGGAGGTGCGACGCCAAGCTAGCCTAAGACAAAGAGAGCAAAACAAACTGGATATCCAGAACAGGTCAGTCAATCACAAATAGTCAATGTGAATGCAAGTACTAGGAATGGCAATTGCACTGAGAATGTTCCAGGATGGCAATGTTGATATGCATTTACTACCGACTGAACTGTGAACCAACCTCTGCTCTTAATAGGGCTTGGGCGACTCTCTGCCACTTTTGATAAAATCAGTTAAAAACTTGGAGTCAGAATCGAAATGCCACTTTTTTTTTGAGAAGCAACTCACTGTCCAACAGTCCCTGCAAGTCAATCCAGACCATGCCCAACAATGGATTCACCTGTAAAACCCTCCCACCTTAAGCTTGCGAACACTTTGCACAGCGCTTGTAACCAAGTTATTGTAGTTACCTGACCAATAGTGCATGGTGATCTCATTGGTCATTGTGCATTGTTTGATTGACGGGTAGGAAGGGTCCATTTTTAAAGTAAAGATTGGTTGGATCTCAAGAGCTTAGATAGCATTTGGTCCTGAAATTGTCCCCTGGTTATATATAAACACAATCATTTCCTTTCAAGTTGTCCTCACAAAGTCGGTATAAGCTTACCTTCTGAGTGTGGGATTTACAAAGCTTGCCGTTACAATTTCAGGATAATAGATGGTCTGGAATCCAGCATTCTCCGGAGTCGACAAGACTACTTTCAGTTGCTGGGTCAAATGGTTGAGGTGACATCATTGGATCTGAAAGATGAAATCCCTCTGCAACTGAGCTGGGATGATAAGGTGATAATCTTGTGTCGAATTTGTCATCATTCTTTGGAAGTAGTTGTTCTCTTTGCTGTTGGATCTGTGCCTCAATTTTTTGCTTTGCAACAATGAACAGGCCCGTAGCCAGCCCTGAGCAGGGGGGGGGGGGGGGGGGGCACATAGTATCAACTAGGGGGGCCCACTACTGTAAAAAATACAAAAGACATATGTATGGCTTTTGCTGTTGGGGCTGCCAAGTGCTCGCCAAGGGCCCCCCCCCCCCCCCCCCCTTTGTGACGGGCCTGACAATCGGGTCTGTATTTAAGACTAGTCTAGTCTACTATTTGGTACCAGCTTACAGGTTAGTCACATGCTTGACTGTAAATAGGGATATATTTCAATTTACTATTAGTACACAGGTGTGTTTGGATACTACAGGCATGCATCTTTTCCTCGGATCAGCTGATTTCCTCTTTTTTTTGCTTCCAATGTGTGCTGTTGAAAATACAAAAACACTGTACAAAGTCTTGAAAAGATTTGAATTTCCTCTTTTTGTGTGACTTCCCAGTTGCATGCCTGATACTATGTTCTGTGTAGAATGCTGTATGGAGTGCAGTATACCCACAGCTATACATGCAACTGTTTGACTTGGATTATGCTTTGTTGACCTGGTAACAAATTATACTTTTACCATTTACAGAAATTCAAGAGGTTCCTTGAGTTATATGATGAGGCTAGAATGCAGGACCCATTACTACCAGACCCTAGGTGAGATTTATTGGAGGTGTTGATGAGCTAGCCCAGTGGTGTTTAAGTATGATGAATCATGAGTTTCATTGTGAAAAATTGATTTCTCTTTTGAAAAATACAGGGTGGTACAAAAAGAAGGAAACCCACTTCGTAAGGAGTGATTTAGCCCTGTTTTGAGTTTTACATCGTTTCTTGAATACGTTTCCAGAAAAAAAAAAATTATATTGTGATGTTGAACGACTGATTGTCGAATAAGGCCAAGTTCGGGCAAGGACCATTAGTCGACTAGTGGTTGATTTGTGACGTACCTTACGCCTGTGCACTAATAGCAAAGTGCGAACGTCTCTAGTCAAACGCTGGTCAAAATGTCATCGCAAAACTTCTGGATCCTGGCTATCTGCTAGCGTTATGAATGCGCGCGGCCGTTGGTTACCAGCGAAGCAACCAACCCCAGTAGGCTGGTTCCAAATAGTCGACTAGCGTAGTCAACCACCGTCGACTAGACAGAGTTCGGGCAAATGTTAGTTAACCATTGGTCAACTATAGTCCTTGCGCGAACTTGGCCTTTGATTTGTTTCGAACTCCACAAAAAGTGTTCGTTGTCTTTTTTAAACAGTGGAAACATTGGTAATTATTGTTCTCAAGAAAGTACAACCCCTTATTACCACAAATGGTGTGGTCCACAAGTGTGTGTGGTGTATGGGGCATCGCATGCATGAAACACAGTGAATTGACGGTACGGTCACCAACGCGAACGACGAAGACTTTCAACATACTCACGCACGTACAGCTGGCAGGCTGGCCGGCTGCACTTGTGGTACATGTACCACAAGAACATGTACTCAGTACCTTTTCACTGTTCCACTGTTTGAAAATGACTTACCTCAAATAACGATTGATAATTCGTTTCAGCAACAGATCTTTTCTTGTATCAGTACATAAAATACACATTTGAATGTCATTTTTATTCTTCAAGGCCCGGCATATAAGCCGTCCTATGTATATTTGTATAAGCCGCAGTAAACATTTTCATGGGCAAAATCAACATATAAGCCACGGCTTATATTCCGAAAATTACGGTATCAAGTTGCTTCTCATCCTTTTTTTGTAAATGATTGGGGTCAGTTTTGTCTGAATTTTGTTGTCAGGATTTAAATATTTAAAGAATCCCTTTCGAAATAGGGAATTCCTGAGGTTTTACCCGTAAGGGTTTTTAAAATATTTTTTATTAGAACTATTAGAACAAAAGAAATGGGTATTTTATGGGGTGCCTTAAGGCAAATACAAACATATAAACCCTAAGTAGTAATGGGATCTTTGGCGACCCTCAAAGTCTCTCCTGATTAGCTCAAGGATTTTCCTTCTTTCCCCAAGTTTTACCCCTGAAATTCAATTACATAATGTGCATTGTTCAGTCTTTGTCAAATTAAAGAACAATTGTGTGTAACTGTGAATAAATTGTTCAATTTTTAAATTTGGGATTTGGTAAAATGTTTGGAAAAAAGGGCTAAACTTTTTTTCAATTTAAAAAAAACAAAAACATTTAGACAAATAAGACATATAACATAAGTGTCACTCCTTAATTAGGATTCAAATGACAACTATAATTGACAGTCTAATAAGACAACATGTAACAACTTCCTAGGATGAACTGGAAAACTAGCTGTCAATCCACACATGTCACATATTGTATTTACAGAATCGTGATGATGGAGGGACATACAGATATCTACGGTTTTCAGCATCCAATCAACAACCAGCCGTTACTATTCCATTATCTCTGCCAGATACTGCAGGATCATCTCATTGCATCTTCAAGGGTAACCTGACACCTGTGAACCCTTTAAAGCTATAGTCCATCATTTGCAGCCATCCGAAAAGTAACTGGCGTAATTACTGTTGAAAAACAAACTTGGTTGAAAGATAGTAAGGGAACTAAACTCCCTGTGAAATTATTCTTTCTGGGAAGGCATTTCCAACGGTGATTCTTAAGAAGCACCGTAGGAAAATTTAAATTAGTAGTTCGTTTTGTTATTCAGCGCAGCGCGCACAAGTATTGGAACGACGCACACGCGCGCGCGGTTGTTATAATTCGTCGGATCAGTGCGCGACGCCACGTATAGCTGCAATTCAAAACAATTCAAAACATGATTCAGTAACTTTTGATTTGAAATTGAGATCTTAGAATGCTGCTTTTCTCGGAATGTACAGCTGAAGCTTAGCTGAAACTTCATCAGGTTAGTTGCTCAGTATCCTTCATTAGATTTTGAACACTTTTGTTGCTTCAAACGAACAAAATGCACTAATTACAAATGATGGACTATAGCTTTAATCATTGTGTTTCTCTAAGGCTGTATTGAAGCATGTAATGCATGACATTGTTATTGCTGGTGTAATGTTATCAATTTCAGACCTTTCTCACACTACAGCTGTTGAAAACAGGTGCACTCTGAGAGGGGGGGGGGGCACTTTGCGGTCAAAGGCAGTTTTGCCGCCTGACGACCACTGAGCAGCCAAACACATACACCCTTTCTTCTTTATAGCATAGCGATGATAAATGCACACTTCCATTTTCAGAATGTTTGAGACATACACAGGGTTCCCAGCAACTTCGGAACTCAGATAAAACCTTGAAAATGAGTTTTGCAGCCAGGGAAAACTAAGGAATGTAGGAAAAACACCAAATAATCAGGGCAAAGTAAGGGCATGTGACGGTGAGCCAGAAGGGAAGGGTTGTGCCTGTTTAGAGTATGTGAATCTTGCGACGGTGCTGTGTCCAAGTTGTGTCCATTGACTAACTGGCTATGATGGGTGTTTACGCAGAGTGAATATTAGTTGCTTTGCTGCAACAGCCTCTTGACTTCTCAGCAACCTTGTTAAAGTGACAATATTTCTCATGGAATTTTGGAAATTTCTCGGGGAAATATCAATGAAATTCATCAGGGAATTTTGTTTTCATGAAGTGATAGGAAACCCTGGCATACAAATGTATGAGCGTTCTACGACCTCAATGATGGTTTCTAATCGTGGTTGCTATAGGAGTCTACAAACTTTATTTTGAAATTGTGTGACCTTTTAGAAATAGGCTAGTTTGGTATTTCCACTGTGCATTGGTGCAATGATATGGGTCACAGGTCATTCAGGGTAATCAAACACTCATTGAAGGTGCATGAACACACAGGGAGATGGGCCACGACGCTCACATGTTAATTACAAGCAGAATTGGCGTTCACATAACATTGTGTAACACACACGTCAGCAATTTTATCCCAAATGACCTTTGACCTGGACTACTTCATCGAGATACCAAAATGCTTATTGGCAAAATGCTGAGCCCAATCTGGGACCAATTCATAAAGCTGCAATAAGCAGAAACTAGCGCTCAGCAAATTTATGTGCTAAACAACAATTAGCTGAGAATGTGTCACAGACAGCTCCGATAGCATGGCATTCTGGCTCTGAACCTGTTCTTTTTGTTCAGCAAGTACATGTATTTGATATAGCTGCTCTTTGATGTCAGCCTTTGTTGTTTGTTTTTTATTGTCGCATTGCATAGAAATCGACTGAGCTTAGCAAGAAATGGGAGGAATATGTGAGCATTATTGGACACGTCTCTGCCATCAAACAGGTCTGAATCAAATTCCAGAACTACACTTTTACCCTTTATTATAAAATGTATTATATTGAGAAATTCATTTTGTGTATGTACAACTCATGTACAATGTTGCATAAGTTAATGTATGACCACTCGATGGACTTACGGAGTGCACCATTTCAGTACCATCTTGATGGTCCAAACAGATCTTGATATCATCCTTCCCATTGCTACACAACACACTACTATACATATATATACGTTGTAGGTTATGTACCCCCAGTGTTATGTGTGTTAATATCGATGCATATGTCTTAGCCTTTGGTTTCAAAAAAGAATTATTATCTTGTCCTTCCGTAAATAAATTGTCCAAGTTTTTTGTGCTTTAAGGCATACCCACACAAACCCTGGGCATGCAAGCAATGTAGCCCTTCTACTGAGCTCATACGAATGATCACCAATGTCTGGCCACTAATGATGCAGTGAGTCCATAATCATGGCATATCAGAACAATTGTTAGCTGTCCTGATACGGTACACATACAGGTTTCCCTGAAAGTGTTCAAAATGCCATGTGCCACATGATAGTAGACAACAATTGTACATTGCTAAGCTGTGCAAGTGAAGTTGTTAATGCTAATAATGAAAATCTTTTGTTGTTGATTGCAAACAGGATGACCTGAGAGAACTGGTGTATGATGGGATACCAACGGACTACCGCAGTGAGATCTGGTCCTACCTTGTCCTGCAACAAGTCAAGCAACTCAAAGCTGAGAAAGTGAGACATTTAACACTTGTTGACTGCTGTGATGTGGGATATGATGTTTGTAACACCTGTGGGGTGCTATGTACCCCGAGGGGGTTAAAAACGGCGTATCCCATATCACAGCAGTCAACGATTGTATTGTTATATCATGACAATAAGTCAAAAAGATAAGTGGTTGTAACTTACTTTGTGTGAGAAATAAATGAAGCTACTGCGATATAACCTTTGATAAAGTGAAATTGTGGATGTCCTGCCAGACATGAGACTGAGTAGTTGACATTGCAGTTCTCATTTGGAGAAGCTAGCGCACCGGCAGGTTCCATACACTCGCGCAAGGTGCGCAATGAACAGTGCGATATCTCTGATCTCCACGTAAAATGTATATAGTTGTGTGACATGTGTTTTTATAGACCCAGACATGTGGCTGTTCTAGACCAATGAAATTACAGTATCCAAGCACATGATATAACAATGTTATGTGCCTTAGTGTAATCACTGATGTGATTAGCCTTTTCTTCCCCTAATTCTTCAGCATTCGTTGTTTTTTTGTTGGACTTAGGACTGAAAAACCCTTCATGAGACCTTTCTAGACTAAAAAACCACAAATCATTGAAATTTCTCACAACAAAATAAGTCAGAAATCTTTTAGGTCAACATTCATTTTCATATAAAAAGGTGTTTGTTTCTGAGCCATAATTGCACTTTAACCTTCTTTAACCTAACCTTTTAAGACCTTTTAGAGATTCATTGTCCCAATAAATGATAGTTTTGAATCCTACTTCAACATTAAAACAACTCAATTGATTTGTATGCTGAAAGTCAAAGCATTGAGAGTCTTTACTCGTTTGTGGTGGACTTCACTGATATGTGATGTTCCTTGATGATAAAGTCTGAACTACATCACTGGAGTCTAGGACTTTACGAGAGGCTTGATGTCGTGACAAGTGCAAATCCAACTTGGAACAAATTTCATGCTACCGTATAGTTTGAATACCCACGCTGCACAATTTTGAGTTGAGTTCAATTTTGAGGAGGTTCCTTGCAAGTAATGCCTCGGCCTTAAACAGCCCTCCAGCACAAACATCCTTTCTTCTTTGAAAACTAAAAACCTGCCCGATAAAGGAATTTCATGGAGTATTTAGTGCCTTGTCCTTTGTACCTTATAAAACCCCCTTTTAACATAAACTGCAAAGGGAAACTAGGTGCATAATATCAAATTGGTCAAAGTTGAACGAAGAAATTGACTGGAGCAGGGTTTGAACCTGCGACCTCTAGATTGCCGCTAGATTGGCTGCTCCAAAATTGGGGCACAAAAATAGGTATGGATAGCCCAGCTGATAGAACACTGGATTGACAATCCCTAGGTCTCAGGTTTAAACCCCGCTCAAGTCAGTTTCTTTGTTCAACTTTTAAAAAAGCTTGAGACTGAGGCATTTGAGTGCTACGGTTGCCTTGCTCCAGACGCCTACACAAAGATGTTAATGTTATGGGTGGGTGTGCTCATTGAGATAAAAAATATGGTGGTCGTATTCTGTGCCATATGTGAACAAACCATGTGCTTGCATGAGGTACATGACCAACAAATTGGATCTCGCGTGAGTGGCCACACAGCATGGTCTGCTGTTCTTGCACGGAATCTATATAGGTAGGCGCGGACATACAGGAAGTTTTTACATTGACTTATCTAGCTCCCAGACTTATGTCTTGAACTCACTGGTTTTTGAGTCTGGAGTGCTGGATGATATCACATAGCAACCGATGAAAACTGGTGTTCAGATAAATAGACGTTTTTATCGGATGACCTTTATTCCGCCCTCACCTTTAGTAGGTTGTCTGGTACCCATCCGGTGTTGTAATATTGCCCAATTTCAAAATATCAAACTACATTTCATATATCTACGGTATGAATTTGGTGAATTGTTTGTCTTTTTTGCAGAGTGAGGATTATTTTCAGTGGCTGTGTAATCGCATTGGGACCTCCTCCTCAGTGGATAAATACAGGAGACAGATAGATCTGGATCTTCTACGTACCATGCCCCACAATATCTACTTCAATAGCAAGGATGCCGAGGGGGTAAGAATCAAGCAACCTCTTTTCATCTTGTTATATCTGGATTTGCTCTTCAATGGAATTATAGGGTCTTTCCATAGGCCAATTGAAGCACATGAGCACCATACACTCTGAAGTGTTCTAGTAATGGCTGAAACAAAGCGAGTGTGCATAATAACTGTCCCATGACGGTTACTCTAAACAAAAGTGGGCTTGATCCTTCTTGTCATTACTGTGATGCCTCTGATTGTACAGTAATCACATGCTCAGATTTGTTTGTAAGTTTACAGTCTAAAGTGTGGCATAGTGGTAGATTTTTTCCAAAATGTAAGTACTGGACAGCCAAAACCCCAATACTTGCCATAGAACACTTTAATGAAATAAGCAGGAACAATTGTTGTAGTGGTAACTGACTTCCACCTTTGACTCCTTGACCTTTGACCTAATAGGTAAAGCAGTTACGACAGATACTAGAGGCGTTTTGTGTTCACAACCCCAAGGTGGGTTACTGTCAAGGCATGAACTTCATTGCAGGAACTTGTCTGCTCTTCATGGATGTGGAAATGGCTTTCTGGTAAAAAGAGAATTGCTTTATTGCCCAATCACGTCATATGTGAGGCGTTCTGATAAAATGAGACAGAACTGGACAGAGTTTAATAGAAATGAGGGTTGGTGGGTATCGGAAAGAAAATAAAGTTCTCCTTACAGTATATGTTGCACTTCATTTGGACATTTCATTGGCAGGTTATGGCTGTTTAAAGTTGCATTCATCAACATGTCAAAAACGTAAAATACTGAGAAAAAGGCCTTATGGTTTTGAGTTTTTTGGCCTTGAAAATGGAAGATTCCAATTATTTATCCTTAAATCACTTTTATTCCACGATTTTTATATTATCTTCCTAAGATATGTGTACTAGACATATCAAAGATTACAAATATCATAACATCTGAAAATCAAAAAACTTACCCTGATTGGTTATTTTGCATTTTTCTCTACAATGGCCTGTGCCCAGTTCCGTCTCATTTTGCCAGAACGCCTCACATGTGTTAGAAGCGTCACGATGATACTAAATGTGCCCCCTTCTGCTGGTAAAGATATTGCCAGCTTTGCACACTCCAACTGCCCTTTCCACAGGCGTTGGTGACAGCTACATTTTTTAGTTCTCATTGGACATTTTAGCCTAGGTTCAACAATATTTTTGGTAAAATAGAAAAGCTGTCACCAGCCCCTTTGGATGATGGCAATAAGCAAAATTTCCAAATAGATCAGGAATTGTTTTTCCAGACTCTAAACACAGGACGGTTATTTTGTTTAATTATTAACCTTACCCTGTCGCATTTTCTGAAAAACACCATGCTAAATTTTACAAAATGTACCTGACAGAAAGTGTGAAGTCGTAGCAAACTTAAAAGACAGCGTTTTGTTTTTGCTTAGGTCAATAAAAATGCAATACACTCTGCCCTCTGTTGATGGCCCTTATTAGGACATAGTGTCTTGCATGCATTTACATGTAGGAGCTTTTTATCATGCTTACAGTGATCAATTTGCTCTTTATACTTAAGTTGGTGTTTGTGTGTTTCTTGCTCAGGTGCATGGTTGCTGTAGTTGAGTCTTACTTTCCAGCCAACTACTTTGACAGTAGTCTGATTGGTGCACAGGCCGACCAGAATATTCTGAAGGACATCCTGGAATTGAGACTACCCCGACTCCATGCCCATCTGGATGATATAGGCATTGAGATGTGTTCATTCACACTGAACTGGTTCCTGGCTATATTCTTTGACGTTGTCCCGTTCACGGTAAGCATGATTGTAGTTTTGTGCATCAGAGGAGTGATCACATTTTGTATCAACAAAAAGGGTGTCACTCAGAGAGAGTATGACATTTTGTGATAGAAAGCGGTATCCTCTCTGCGTGATCCCTGTTTGCTATTTCTCAGGTTTGCAGCATTGCTAATGTTGCTAGCATCATGACTTTGGGCGTGATCTCTGGCTGCATGTTGCTTCTGACAACACCCATTGAACAAAGACATTGAATTGGGGAACCACCAACATAGGGCTGGATAGCTCATGCGATAACACATCAGTACGGTGTCCTGGAGGTCGCAGGTTCAAACCCCACTCGCTTCAAATTCAATTCAATTTTATAATTAGAAAATAATCTTTTCCAATCCAATTTCACATTTCTGAGAATATTTTTTTCACTGACCCAAATTTCTATTAATGAAATTTCACTTAATCTTCCTTATGATTGATAAATTGTACATTTCATTTGTAATTGGCCATATCTTTTTCTACAGATGCTGCTCCGTATCTGGGATTGTTTCCTGTTTGATGGCCTACGGGTCCTTTTCCAGTTCTCCATCGCATTGCTTCAGTACCATGAGACATCATTGTTACAGAAGAAAGACATCTTAGCGATACTGAAAGACACCAAGTCCATGGCTAAGCTAACGCAGGATATTCAAGCCATTGTCGATGTAAGACCTAGAGATTTTGTTTCTAATTTCATATAAAATGTGTTTCTTTATAAGAATTGAAATGAAGTCCGTCAGTTTTTCTAGGAATCTTCCTGCATTCTCCAAATCTCTCTCTTGTTGGAATTGGAATCCTACTGCAAGATCTTTACTTTCACTTTGTATAGGTATTGAGCCACATGAAGTGTAATAGTGGCTACCCTGTACCTTCCCAAATTCTAGACAATATTTCCAACCTTTCTGTTTGATTTTGAAGGATCTGGGAAGGAAAGACGTTTCTTCTTTCGGTTTCTCGTGATGAGTTAATGGTTGCATACGATAGATTAACTTTTTTAGTTGACAATGTTTGTCTCTCTGGAGCATTGTATTTGTGGCAATTAACCTCAGTTCATTAAAACTGCTGCTTTGGTTTGACTCAGATTGATGTCCTAAATTATGGTTTCTGGAATAAAAATAATATTGACTTTATATCATAGCGCTTTTATCCGAAAAATCAATCAAGGCTACTACAGAAAACAAACAAATAGTGTAACAAACAATTCACACTATTGCAATAGTCATGATCCAGGCTATAAGTGAAATAGTTAGTGAAGTAAATATGATTTCATTTTTCTCTTGATGATTTCCAGGGATGTTGTTTGGCACAGACTTGATGACAAGTTGCTAGACAGTTTTGTATTGTCTGTCAACACACCCAGTATGTACTACCACGGTGCTGTGTATCGTGGTTATTGTTTGCTGGCCACGACATGTCTGACGACTTGACTAATAAGAATTTGGACGTGTATTCATGTATGCGCCCAGCGAATTGCGCGTGCATTACGTTTCCATAGAGATAGGCTAATGATAGCTCACCTGTACTGCTGAGGAAGCATCCTTGATTAGAGTGGGGATATCTTTCTCTTGATCAGTGTACAGCTGTCTCTTTTTCCGTAAGATTTTCATTAGAACATTAAAATCAGTGCTATAGTTATAATAAATTATTAAATATAAATGCCAAATTGTTGTTTTCCAAATAAGAAAATAATATGATGGAATACCAAACGGCCCAGGAATGAGCTTTTGACTCCTTGAGGAATGGGATTCATTCCATATTGTATTGCATTCAACCACACACAGCACCGTACAAATATGTATCAACTGTAAAGTGTAACATTCATAATTGTCCTGATTCTCAACCAATCAGACTGTTCCGTCCAATTCTGGTAACGATTACCATACATTGCATAGAAAGCCCAGAACAGATAATTCAAGTTTTTAATTGGTAGCGACCTACACGCATATTGGGGCCGAGGATGCACAAAGTGTCCCCGCAAGTTGGTGCCATACTGCACTCGACACGTATACCCTGGGATCGTATGTTGTGTCTATCAACGGCAGGGCTCGCAAAATCGGTTGTCCGATGTCCCGGGACAACCAAAATATTTTATTGGGCAACCAAAAGGTTTAATTAGGATCAAAGCATGCACAAGACATATAGCAAAACATTTGCTGAGACTCAACCAAAAATAAATGGCGGTGTAGTGATATGGCCAAAAAAGTAGCTGTAGCGGCTGGAGAGATTCTGGCTCATATCTGGCTCTTTTAGGCAGAGATGCATGTACCACTTTCTATTTTAATTGGAATTCCAGTTTTGTTCAAATTTTCTTTCCAAAATTTTTCATGTACTACAATTCAAAAAGTTTGATGGAAACAGTACTGTATTGCATGTAAATTTTTAATATTTTCTACAAGTTGTCAATACTAGGGATGAAATTGTTTGCTTATTTCAGGATGATTAAAAGATCTCTTGGAGTCTTTATTTTATCCCAATGTCACCCCTGCAATAAGAAACACATAAGGAAGCGCTGATTGGAGTACATGTATATTATTGCTAGAACTAATTTGAGGCATTAACCTATGACAAATGGGGCTGTACATGCAGTACTTTTTAGACCCCCCCCCCCCCCCGTATGCCTGGCATTGTGTTTCCAACCCCCTCCCCCTGTACCCATAAACATTCCATATTTTTCTTTTGGACTTTTCAGACTACCCTATTCTAGCATCATTTCATGAAGGGCAAAACCTAATTTGATTTATATCACCCCGACGCAAAATTCCATCTTATAATAGCATCATTTCATGTCATATTCATAAATACCCAAGACAGTTTACCCATTCCTAATGGTCGAGAGCCTGTCACGTGGCCGGTTTTCTGGTCTTAAAACAGTTTTCGAGTGTCACATGAAATTTGAAATCCTATGAAATCCGGTGCTTTTTAGTTACCGTTTTATTATTTGAACGCTCACAATACTCACGTAGGCATGCGCAATACAACCAGTGAGTCAGTATTTCATAGTCATTCTTAATTCATAGTACACCGATACAGCTGCATTCTGCGCCACATCACGCAGCGCCAATCTCCATATAAGGAGGTGTTTATGACATGGACATACCATAATATAGCAAGAGGGGTGTTTAAAAAAACATCAAGTAAACTTGTTGAACCAAATCGTTGGAAATTTATAATTTTTGCATTGTTTTGACTTTTGGACCGAAAAGTTTTGATTTTTTGACCGAAAAGTTATTTATAAATGGGAATAAATTTGTGCTTGGCCAGTATTTAACACTATGTTTAATGATGATGTTTGAGACTGGTTGGAGTCTGGTTACTCTCTGATGTGCATGTGTATTTCTGTGAACTCATTTAAAATGTCTTATCTAGAAAAAGTGAAGCTTGGTCCATTTTAGACAGACAGAAAAGGATTCACTTTTGTGGCCCATGTATACCTAAAAGCACATGGCAAAACAAGGGACTTACATACAGGGCCTATGACATTGCTAACCGCACAACCCTACTACTGGGAAATGGTAAACACATTTTGTGCTGTGCTATAATGCACAGCTTTACGTCAACTTTTTGGACTGAGTTTCATATTATAATCACTGCTGTACTGTGTTTTTACAAGAGGGTACTAGTGGGGTACTCACACAAAGGGAACAATAGTACCCTAAATGTTGGTCTTTGTCTGACCATACCCCACAAGAGAAATTGTAAAGAACAGGGATAAAGGGGAACAATGCAAGTACCCCTTAAACCCCATCCGTAAGGTTGATCCTGTTATCATTTAAATATGACTGAGGACTTGGGACATTGCCAATAACCTCAATGACCCTTGGCCCAATCCTCAAAAGCTTTTTGTGTACAAACCTTATGGCAACAAAAGATGGGAACAGTAAGGGTCCCAGAAGTATAGTAAAACATGACGGTGTGTGAATATGTGTGTGGTCATCTGTGAATCGAAAATGTGCCCGCAAAGCGGTGAAGCTTCATACATCTCGTAATAATGAGGGAAGATGCAGGAGCCAATACCTTGGATTCTGGGGATAAAACATTGTTCATTTATGGTACATGTACCTACTTACAGTCAATGTTCTGTTGTCTGGGTCTTCATCCTGTACCGTTGTGCCATTAGCACTGACAGCAGAGTTTTCATGGGCCTCTTCTTTGTGCTTTTGCAACTTAAATTTGCAGGTCAGGGCAGCCAGGAACCCATTTCTACCTTCTCCTGAACATAAATAATTAAATGAATGTGATGAGCAAGGAAATACATCACTATCACCTTCACATAACAAAAACAATGACTGACAGTCAGAGAACAGAGAACAGAAGTTGGGTTCATGTAATAAGACGTGAATCTAAGACTTTTCTGAAGTTAGCTTGAAGGACCTGATGAGCATTACTTTCAAATCATTTTTTGTATATGAAGAGTTTAGTTGCAAAAGGGCTTACGAGATATTTGACAAATTTAGAGAAAAATGCAAAAAACTGTATTGGATTTATGTTCTTTTACATGGCAAAAGTCTGATTTTACTGTGGTATGAAAACCCCTTTTGGAACAGATTGATTATTTTACCTGGTAGCCCTAGTCAAACCCTAACCATTGCAGGTTCAAACTAATTTTTGATATAAATGGATATAAGCCCTTTTGCAACTAAGGTCTTCATATACAGGGACTGTGTCATTACATTATTTATTGGTGTACTCTAAAAATTTTCATCAAGTTTCTCAAAATATCATTCAGCAATCACTATCATCATAAAACTTTGTGTGTGTGTGCATTTATTCCTTGTAGATTGTTAGAGACAGCAACGACAATTTCCCATCCTTGGCCTGGATCCAGCAAAAGCAGCAGCACTACATAAACATCCTGCGAGCTGTCTATGAGCAGCAGGAGAAAGCCAGGGAGGAGTTTGAGAGACAGGAAGGTCTCGCGCCGGCCACACCCATCTTCCAAAGTGAAGGGGAAGACGGTCTTGTACAGGATCTGAAGATGGATTGTGCAGTGGAGTGCTACTCAGGTATGAGCATGATTCCACCTTCCATGCAGCCTTCCTACGGTCTAGGAGGAAGATGTTGATAAACTCATTGGAAGACATCAAATCTGCCATAGTTGGATACAATATCAATGACTTTTGAATATGAAGACCTTACCCATATACGCAGAAGAGACCTTGACAAAAATATTGACAGATTACAATTTCTGAGTACCAAATGTTATCCAAAATTTCATTATGCGCTTGGACACAAAATCTGCACATTTTCAAGATGTAGTCTTGTGGAGTATTACATGTATATTCTACTTTTTAATGATACTGAAGCTATTCTCGTGTTGAAAATGTGGTTTAGAGCCCAGAAATGCACATTATATGTGAAAGAGCTCCGTTAATGCTATTGACAGAATCATTTCCATCGTGCGCTCATATTTGGGTGTGTTCCTCTCAGGCAAAGATAATAGGGTCTGCACACATCCATATGATAATTAGTTGTGTACAATCTGTGCTATTCATGCAGCCAAGCAGCGCGTGCATGCAATACATCCTGTATTTGCCTTTTGAGTAGTTCAATTCCATGTACAGTGCCTGCAATGGACTCTCAAGGACAGTTAGTCAACAACTCCTCATATTAAAGTCCTTGCTTTGTCATTATCTTTGCAGGTCACTTACTAGTCTGCCGTGGAGAGTTGAGGCAGGGTTGGGTTGGACGAGTTGATATTGGCAAATGCATCAAACAGAACTATGGAATAAGGGTACAAGTTACTGTATAAGCTTGTATGAGTTGAGGGCTGAGTCAGTTGTATTATGGCACTAGTATGGAATCATTATAAGAGCTTATTATGTTCATTGATGACTACTGCCAGAATGCAATAAATTAGAAACAAAGAAAGGGTTTCAATATACAAAATAACAAATACAAAATACAAATTTTTGTATCTTGGATGATCGGTCATATATTGTGATTCAAATATTTGTCACTACCATAATATGAGTAAAATGTGTGGATTTTGTGCATAGGATTAATGGAAAAGTCACTGGATTGTCCGAAACTGTACATCCAGTGCTGCCTGGATTCTCAGGCAGGTCGGCTGAAAACTGGGGGTCTTCTAAAAATAAATCAGTACTGTGAAAATCATAAATACATTATTTGGCCAAACTGATGGAATTAGTGGATATCAACGCACATTCATTGTTTTTTCTTCTGTGTTTAGTTGGACAACCGCATTGTGTGTTTAACCATGGCTGGCATTGACATGGCACTATTGGGAACGGTCTCAAATTTCTTGTATGCATTCAGTATCGGAACTCAGTAAGTATATATAGTTGTGTTGCTAAACTATTGACTTATCAGGGGCTCCCACATAGAGACGAAAAAAGAAACAACATAGGATAAAAATCCAGTCATGGAATAGTCCTAGAAATGTGATACACCTTGAAAAGAATAATTGAATAGGCAGGAAATATCTCCAAAGAATTCTATGATGAGTAATGTTTCTATAAATTTAATGTGTACTACATGTTCTTGGATTTATTTTGAAATTCATGAACAAAATTTATGCTGATTTTAATAATTTGTTTGAAACCTGATTATAATCCCTTTCACTGTGTATGTTTGGTTAAAAGTATTATCCTTAAAAATCTCGTGCTATGCAGTATTTGCTCATTAAGACCCTGTTAAGACTTTTTTGTTCAGTCTGCAGTCCACCAAAATCTTGCCAAATCTGGCCTAGAATCTCGGAGGATACAGGGCCCTGAGGATGATTATCTTAGCTTCATGTGTTATTGCTTACTTTTCAGGAATGTTGCAAGCATTGTGACTTGAAGCACGATCTCTGCCAAAATTCGATTTATTAATGTCTCCTGACTGGTGCCCATGAGCAAAGACATTGACAGATTGGGAGCATTGCAAACATTGCTGTGAATAGCTCAGTTGATAGAGCACTGGTACGGTAGGATCAATTCCTGCTGCAATTGTTTGTTGCACCATGTACCGGTACATGTATTGACTAAAGGTCAATGATAAGTGACCATGATGATTAGCACATTTGTGCAGAGTTTTGTTGATGGCATTTGATTTTTGTTTAGGGAGGAGCTTTGGTTTGAGAGGTTACGAGACACTCCTCTAAGTATCGTCTACAATCCACAAACAAGGAATGTATACATTGGATTAGCAGATGGAACACTGGCTGTTATTGAGGTAAGTCCAAATTATGATTAAAACATGCCTGCAATATCTGTGATGTAGTCATTTTTTTTTTAGTAATCAGCCATCGCTGAGATTTGTGTTAAAGAACACATACTTGAAATGTTTTGTGTAGCAACAATAATTTCAAGAGAAATTCATTTTGTAATGTTTTAAATGGAAGTTACAGGGTTTACACAATCTTCAAGTATTTATCCCAGAGATTTCATAGAATTTAACCAGAAATGTCCATCCCCTGCCTCTCCCCAAACAAAAAACGTAATGCACAATTTCTTCAATAATGTTGCAGTTTAGATTTTGGATCTCTCCCCCCCCCCCCAACCGAAGTAATAAACAAATCAGAAGAACCCCCCCCCCCCCCCCCCCCCCCCTGTCCTCTTGAGTAAAAATATTGTTGGATTTCCTGTGGAAGTTAAAATACATGGTGAAAATGGGATTCGGTTATTTGTAGCCATTTCCTTTGAGTTAGAAAGTCTTGTTGCTCTTCCCAAGCTTCACCTTGACAAATACTTGTTTTTTTAATCACTATTTGTAAATACAAATTGTTCAATTTTAATTGGGACATTGATTGAAAAAATGTGCTCTCTGAATAAGTGTTTTGCAGAACTAAATTATTACCAGCCCGAAAATAATTGACGCTGATCTTGTGCTATGTTAGCAACCCAAAATAAAAGTCTTTTCTGAAGGTTGCAGACTCTAAATGACAAAAAAGAAGAAACATACTTTAAAATGTAACATAGACATAAACAGTTGTAAGCAGAAAAAGTCAATTTGTTAAAGAGCACAGGATGAGCAACTCTAGATAAGACTTTCTGATTTTGTGCCATGACATTTGTGTTGGTAACTTGTAGGGTGTGAGCCATGCCAGTCCCCGGGATGTCTTCTATCACGCCATCGGTGCCAGCCCAATACGCAGCGTTCTCTACCTCCCTAAGCTGGACAAGATATGGTGTGCCTGTGGTAACGCTGTCAGCATCCTCAACAAGTCAGTGTGCACAATGCATAGTCTTTGTGCTGAAACTCTTGACGGCAGTGTCTGACCCAATAATAGACCAGTCCATGATGCTTTGACCAGTCACAACCATGGTTCATTTTCAGACAAATGTCTGACACATGCATGCACTTGCGTATGATGTGTGTGTCTGTCATGCAGTGTGGCATGTGTTGTTTCCCATGTGTGAAAATAATATGTAAAAATAAAACCCCCAGCTCTGTCAAAAAAAAAATTTCCCATAGAACTTCCTAGAAAATGCGAACCCCCCCCCCCCCTGCTTTGACACCCCCCAAAAAATTATACAGGTATCATGTCCACCTGTTCAAAATACAGACAGAGGCAGCTTAGAAAGGGGGCATTTGTACACCATTCTGTAATCTAGTGTTAATATTCGTCAGACTTGAACAGCATCCCCTATTATAAACAGCCCCCCCCCCCCCAGTTTTTGATTTTACGGAGACCAAGTGTCTGGAGAAAAAACCCTGTCTACATTTTCAGAATTTTTGCTGATGAAAATTTCCCCATGCAAAAATACCTGGATCCGCCCCTGGAACCAGCCATGCAACCATCCCTCTCGGTGTCAGTTCCAAATAGTCAGTCAGCGTAGTCCAACCACC